TGTGCATATTCCTGACAAGAAGGTAACCACATTACTGTTTTCTGTAACACTCATGGAAATAAGGTACAGACTGATCTTCACGCTAAAGGGTACCCAATATCAGTCAAGCGTTTTCCCATTGGGTCTTTCTAATTTAATGACACCATATGCCTTTCTTCAAAAGCTTCTTTCAACACTATAAAATCCTGCCTTTATATGGAAACCTGCTTCTGCTTCTCCAGTTTTTACTATATTTACCTAAAGAGCTCACCTAAACTCAAGGCAAAGACTTGTGACAAGCCCTTTCTGTTGGAGCATTTATATGCAAAGTAAACTTGTTTCTCTTCTACCTTGCCAGAAACAAAAATGACTGTAATGAAATGACCCCCTACTGAAGTTCCTTAACCTACCATTCTTATATTTATATTTACAAGTTAACACTTCCATAACTACCACTCTTTTGCAAATTTTTCCAGCTAGGCTTTAACCACCATTTCATCCCTAGAAAATTCCCTAGACATTTATTTTTTGGTAGGAGGATTCAAGGACATCCTTAAGGTACAAGTTCTTATACATTATCCTGCTCTTGAGTGTGAGTGGGACCAGTGAATACGAAGGGATTTTGTTCATTGAACCCAAAGAAAGAAGTCCAAAATATTTGAAGAGCTATCTCTCCTGATAGCCTGGAAGAAAGCAAGCAGCTAAGTTCTAAGAGAAGGCCATAATGTGCTGATAGATTTCAGATGGTGTCTAGGAGCAGAGAATGGTTCCTAGCCAACAGCCAACAAGAAAACAGGACTGCAGTAACACTATAACAACCACCAGTGATCTTGGAAAAGATTTGAGCCTGAGATAAGATCTTCTTCTCACTGACAGCATAACAGAGGTCCAGTAAGTCTCTAAGCAGAGGATCCAGCTAATTTGTAGCTGAACTCCTGACACACAGTATCTATAAGGAAATAAGTGGACTTGTTTGTGATTTTTATGCAATAGAAAACAATATATTTTTATCACTTTTATTCTCTTTGTTCTCTTTGTAATGATAATCATTGAATAAATGGAGACCAAAAAATGTGACTTTAAAAAAAAAGTGTGCCACTTAGACCTAAATCACTGCTTTTGCTTCCAAAACACACACACACACACACACACACACACACACGTTCTAATACATGTATTTTAGTTCTAGAGGATTTAAAATGTTCTGTCCATAGTAGCCATTGCCCTCCTAATTACCAAAACTTATCTACGGACTTTATTCTCTTTGGTCTTTGGAAACATATGAACTCAATGACCATATCCAGCTTAAAACTACTTTTTTGAGTTATATAACAGCATACTTTTTTTTGTTTGTTTGTTTGTTTCCTGAATCTCTTTGATACTCTTTTGCTGTCTCCTCTTCTTTAATTATCTTCATTTTACAGATGAGGAAATGGAATATTGTAAAAGCAGGGTAACTTACCAAATGTTACACATCTATTAAGTGGAGAAACCATGATTCATACTCAAAGCTATCTTGGCTCAAAAGCTATTGGGTTTTTGTCACTATAAACACATTGACCTTGCCTCAGTAGAAAATTAAGCTGAATGATTCTCTTATCTTGAAGAAGGATTGGTTTATTTATAAAACAGAACTTGTGATAAATAAAAGAAATGGAGAATGATGGGTTCTTCAGGAAAGGCAGAGTTGTTTGACTTCATCGTTCACCATGTCCATTCCGAGATAATGTTGTTTTTAAGTTCTTCTCTATTACTACACAGTGAGTAGTATCTATTTATTCTCTTATTTATCTCTACTTATTCTCTATTCTCTACCTCTTACTCTAAATAGATCGTTCATGTTGAAAATTCCACATATCTGGCAAGAATTATGAACAATGAAAGCACATTGGCGATTACAAACCATTAAATCACAGTCAATAGCAGTTCTCTTTCTCTCTGATAACTATTATAGAAGCAATTTCACCTAACATACAATAACCTTGTGTAACTTATGTGGGTCTCATTCCTGTTTAAAAAACTGTAAGGATTATTCTATTTGAACATAATTGTTTGCAATTTTAAATATTAAAATAACTGAAGTGTACGACCTCACTGTTTCAAACAACTATGGTCTTCTTACTTTAGCATAATGCAAGCTGAAGACATTTTTCTGCCACCCTCTCAACACAATTTATATTTTTCTTTGAAAAGGATACATTTAAAAAAATATATAATAGTTTATTTTTGCATCATTTGAAAAGGATACTTTTTTATTTTATAACAGTTTATTTTTACATCATTTTGCACATTTTTTTTCCATCTCAATTGTAATCCCCGCGGGTCTCCCATCACCAAGTCACCCGTGTGCCATCACTATAATCCCTTGTACTTCCCTCCCCACCCCCCGTTTTTGATCCTGTTCCCCACTCCACCCCCACAAAATGTCTCTGGTATATGGCTGTTCATTATTCTTGTTATTTTCTCTCCTGGTCCATTATACTCCTGCTATGAACGAAACCATCCGTTATTTTTCTTTCTCTTTCTGGCATATCTCACTAAGCATGATCTTTTCCAGCTCCATCCAAGTTGCTGCAAAAGACATGTGTTTCTCTTTTTTGGTTGCTGAGTAATATTCCATTGTCATCTACTTTTGGGCATTTGGGCTGCTTCCATGTTTTTCCAATTGTAAATAAAGCAGCAATAAACATGGGGGTGCAGGTATCTTTTTCAATCAGTGTTTTTGTGTCTTTTGGGTAGATACCTAGGAGTGGGATTGCTGGTCGTAGGGAAGCTCCATGTTTAGCAGTTTGAGGAACCTCCAAACAGTTTTCCATAGTGGTTGTACTAGTTTGCATTCCCACCAACAGTGCAGGAGAGTTCCTTGAAAAGGATACATTTTTTAAAGCCAACAAATTAACCTTAAGATAAGCCCTGTTCCATTGCGAATGTAAGACACATCTTCCCAGTCCAGCCCTCTGCCTTGGGCACATAGATTGTTTCCACAGTTTGGCTGTTATAAGTAGTGTTGCAATCCACACAGGTGTGCGGCTCTCCCTTCAAATTAGTGTTTTTGCATTCTTTTGGTCGATACAAAAGGGTGGAACTGCTCACTTGGTGGTGCTGAGTGTGGAGTGGTAACATATACCTGAAAGGTATGATTCTGTACTTCTAAATCATATACAGTGTTGTAAACCAATTTTACCTCAATAAAAATTAAATAAAGCATGTTTCTTTTTCTTCTAATTTTGAACTACTTCATTATCTTCCTATATTTTGGAAAACAAAATAAGTTTGGTATAAATTTTCAGTTATCCTTTGCTAACTATAGTTAATCTCTCCCTTAATGTGGACTATTTTGGCTCCTTGGATCCAATAACCCAAATAAATCCTTTTTTCCTAAGAAAAAAAAAATCTGTGATTTGTTTTACTATAACAAAGTATAATTAGTGTAAAGTATCCAAAGTATAATAATACAGCTGCTCTTCTTTGTTTATTTTCATAAATTTTCTCAGTTCTTTGGAAACCAAATTCCAGAATTAAAGTCATCTTCTAAAATCATTTTAGAGTTCAAATGCCAGAAAACAAATAAAATTTACATCTTATTCTACTGGCAAAGTTCACCCTGAGTTGCCTTACTAGACAAACTTGCTGTCAGAGACAACAAGTATACTTGACTACTTTTTAAGATATTATTACTTCTTATTTGTTATTGTTTGATTTGTTCATAAAAATTATTGTTTGATTTGTTCATAAAAAATGTCTATGGTGAGCTTATATTGGTTAAATAGCAAGCTAAAAATGTTTCATAGTTCAAAAGCGGCTCAAAGTAGATTGGGGCTAGAGGTGGGCTTGGGAATAAGGCATTGGGTAAAACCATGGATACATGCAAACAATAACAGGGTAACAAAAACAAGTTAAACTCTATCATTACAAGGCATGATTTCATGACAAAATCACTGATATAAAGAGAAAGGATATTAGCCTGCTTTGCCAAGTCACTATGCTACAGTCAAGGGATATGTCTGTCAAGACAGCCAGAATTCTAAACTATTATATCAAGGTAACCTAGTGTGTCCTTAAATCAAGTTTTCCCAAGAATCACTATTCCAATACATTAAGCTGTCACTTTCATTCTACAGCATATATTTGTTTAAGATAACTGTACTTCCAAAAGCATTCCACAGATTTTTTTTTTTTTTATGGCTCACTGTTTTGTTTTTTTTTTTCTAATTTAACATCCTTCTTCATTTTGTGCATTTTTTCATCTTGGTTGTAATCCCCTTGGACTTCCCACCACCAATTTCACTCATGTATCATCACCGTAGTCCCATGGGCTTTTCCCACCCCAGTTTTGATCCAGCTCCCCTCTCTGGGTGGTTCTCTTTTTAAGAGCCTTAAGCTTTCTTTAGTACTTCCTAGTGGATTTCCTTTTCCCAGTTAGCACTTTTTTTTTTTTCTGCCATTATCACCTTGCTCCATAAGAAAGAAGGTTGAATATGAGACTAAGGCTAAATTGTGGCGCAGATTACTGTCACTTGTAGACTTTTGCACCGCAGTAAGACGGGTGAATTCACAAGTTAAGAATAACTAGTCTGGCCATGGTATAAGGTGATTTTGAGAGGAAAAAGCTTAAAATTAAGGAGGCATGAAAGGCTTCTCCAGAAATTATGAACAGTCTAGCCCATCTAAAACACAAGGTATGTTTGAAAAGTAGATGCTTTTGAGTCATCTCTATCTGAGGTGGTGAGATCCAGAAGTGAAGCAGCGGTAGGGATGAAGAAAAATGGAGAAGAAAAGATTAAGACTTGATATGAGATTAAATAAATGTTAACTGGAAGTGAAGCAAAATTGGGAGAATTCCTCCTCTCCTCACTCTGTTTCTCAGATCCACAAAATCCTATAACTAGCCCTAAAATTTTCAGTAAAAATTTGAAATCTCATCACAACCTAGACCTGTGCTTTGTGCATGGGCCACTCCCATGACCTTTCTGAATGCTCCTAAGGTCATTAACTTCCCTTTCAATCTTATTTCAACTCAGGCTTCATCTGATATTATACCATAAGAAGGACTTGCCCCTAACCAGGAACATATGTGAAGGGTACGACAGTACCAGAAAGAGGTATGGTTCTGTTTTTCTAATGAATCTTGTTTTTCATCTTGTTAATGATCTTAACAAAGTAATTTCATCATCTGTACTAAAAAGGAATTACATTTATGGTTACTGCTAATTTATATTAATCAATACCTCATTTGTTTAGTGCTAAGACAACTCTTGCCATCTTGTTTTGTATCCTTTCCACTTCTGAGTCAACACTCTTCTTCCTCTTCAGTCTAACGGCTGCTTGAAACAGGAATAGAGGCCTAGGTATCTCTGTATCCATTTAGTGTGTCTCATTATTGGGGAATCACAGCAAATTTGCAAATTCTATAAAAACTAAATGTTGTTTAAGATAAGCAAAGCATCATATGTGAAATGAGAAGCTTAAACTAAATAAACTCTAGCCTGGGATTCATTATTTTTGTGCAATTTTCACCGTCTTTTTATGGCCCAATATAAGTTACTGACTTGGTTATAATAAATCAATTGATCCTTAATATTAAAATTTCTAGGAAAGCTTATTTTGATCTATAAGGATTGGGAAGTTTATTAACAGGACTGAAGATCATCTGTATGTTTTTTTACTAATGTACTTATCAATTTTCTTTGACATTCTTCATCTCAAGATCTGGGAATTTCATCTTTATATAGAATGTTTAACAAAGTAAACTAATTATTAATTTGTGTCAAGGTATGGTCATTTTTAATCTTACAATTAGCCTTATAATTTAGTACCCTCCTTAATACTTTAGAAAACAGCTCACAGGACAACTTTAGGCCCTGAGGCTGGAAAGGTTTTTAATTATAGTAGAATGAAAAGATAACTCAAAGGACAATACCTTCAAGTAATAACTGGTTCCATGATCCGTTCACTCATTTACTGAGCATTTGTGGGCATAGTACATATGTTTCAGCCCCATGTGAGATGATTTCATATAGATCAAGCAGATAATCAGTGAGGGGAGATAGCATATGCAAACAAATCATTAAACTGCAAGATAGCTTTACAGTTCTCTAGAAGAGAAAAGTTAGAAATTACCTGGGATAGAGGATGAAGGAACGCTTGGTCAAGAAAACATAATTCAAGCTAAGAATTGGTAGTTTTCCCATATACATAGATGGAGGAAAAAGAATTTAAGGAAGAAGAAATGCCATGAAGAGAGATAAATAAGCGGGCCAGTGCATGTCCCTGGGGTAATGAAATAGCAGTTGTACTGAACAAGAGAAACATGAGGAAATTTCAGTTATAAACAGACTAAAAAGCATTAAATATCTAGGCCAGAAATTAGGACATTTCTGCTACTCTCTATCGGGGTTCTCTTCAGCAATTTGTGAGAAAAGTTTTGAATGCATACTCATTGACAGCCATGTCCTGACATCTGTCCAAATTTATCATTTCAGTATTATTAAGATTTCATATACTTCATGCCTCTCAATGGCACCAACTTCTAATAATAAGAAACACAGAGTATATCTTTTTTTTTATTTGATTAGAAAGAAAAATATGCAACCTCTGCCCAGTATTCATTTTCTTTGCCAGCATTTTTAATTCGTTTATTTAAGAAATCTGAGGTTGTAAGAAACATTTTTGCTACAACTGACTTTTAAATTTATACCAAGATTTTGGAGGATGGCACAGTGGTAATCAAAATCTTTAAGTCTGGTACAATTAGAGTTGAGTCAGACAGTTTATCTTTATATGTCATGTTGACCAAATGCATGATTTAAAGTGATGAATTGCCTTGGTAGTAGTTTGTGGTCTGAGGACAAGCCTCTGTGGAGGTGTTGATCTTATTCGCTGAATTATATACAATACTGTAAGCAAATGTTACCTCAATTAAAAAATATATACAAAAAACTTGAACTTTATTCTGATGTTACTCAGGAAAGGGTGAAAATTATAGAGCAAGGACACGACATAATTGGCAGGAACAATGTATGGTAAATTATTCTAGAAAGAATGTGTAGTGAATATAGTGAGGGTTGAGGTTGGTAGGAAAGCCAGGTGGTAATTAGCTTTTTTAAGTTATTTTTCTATGCCATTTTTTTTCACATTTCATTAGTTTGTGAGTCATTTACATAAGTATATAATTTGGGGGCTACAGCTTCACACCTCCATATGTGCACCTGCTTCATTCACTCTCCACCAAAATGATCTAATACTTTCCTTTTTAAAGTGTAGTTCTTTTTTAAAAATGCTGTTATTAAAAATCCCAACACCACCATCTAGTGTCTGATACAGGGGTAACAAAACAAGCAAAATAGTTTCTCTTTCTTCCACAATTGCACAGGAGTTCAAAGAGAAAATGGTGAGAGAGGCAGACCTCCAGAAAGCAAACTGAGAAATAATGTGGAGATTGGAAATACTAAACTAATATGTCTAGGATCTTAGATAATCACTCTCAGAGTGATTCATCTCCAATTTTTTATCATTTTATAAATAGTTCTTGGTAGAAAATAACATTACTTCTTAATGAAAGGGGGAAAATGGAAAGACTAGCCAGGATGGACACATAGATGAATGGATGGAGAACACATCCTCACTGCAAATATAACTGTTAGCAGTATTAAACCAGGGAAGGTATATCCAACCTAAAACCACTATCACAGCTGCCCGTTCCTGTATCCCTAGAGCAAATATGAAATCTGTCCTTCTGTTCCTAACAGTTCTTGCATACTTAATCTGTCTTTCCACCTTACAAATCCCAACTATTGAAAATAGTAGACTCATTTTTCTCTAGATCTTGGGTAATCATCCTCAGAGTGATTCTTGTGTGTTCAGTTTTTTTTATCATATATCAACAGTTCTTGTTGGAAAATAATACTATTTTTTAGAGATTTATTTATGCATACAGAACTGGGTTACAGGCCAAAGGTGCACAGCGGTGAGGGGATTCACCAGAGACAGAGTGGGGAGCAGAACAGACTGATGAAATACACTGCTGAGGGGAGCAGCAGGCGGGTCAGGAGAGGTCTGCCATGCCATGTGGATCGCCTCTCTGGCCAGGAATCAAATTCATGCTGAAATGGCTTTAGGTTTGTAGTGCTGTGCTTTAACCTGCTGCACCACCAGGGAGGATCCCAAACTATTTTTTTTAATGTATATATTTTTACATCATTCTTAATTTTCATACAATGTATGCTGTATCATCTCATGTACTGCCCCAAGAAATTCTAACCACCAATTCACCTGTGTGCCATCACTGTAGTCACTTGTGCTTTTCCTACCCGTTTTGATCCAATTTGCTCCCCCTCCCTCAAGAATGTTTCTGCTTATAGTTGCCTGTTCATTTTGCTTTTTACTTTGTTATAGTTACTTCTCCTCCCCACTGATCCTTTGTTTGGGTCCCCTACATTTTTCCTATAAGAGAAACCATCTGGTACTTTTCTTTTTCTTTCTGGCTAATTTCACTGAGCATGAAGCCTTCCATCTCTATTCATGTTGCTATGAATGGCAAGAGTTTACCTTTTTGATTGCTGAGTAATATTCCATTGTGTGTATACGTGTGTGTGTGTGTATACACACACAACATCTTTTTGATCCAGTCATCTATTTTGGGGGGACGTTTTGGTTTTTCCATAGCTTACCTGATAATAAACATAGGAGTGAAGGTCCTCTTTCAAATTAAAAGTCTTTGTGTCCCTTAGGTAATTAACCAGGAACGGAATTCCTGAATCATACAGAAGCTCCATTTTAGGAGCTCCACAAAGCTTGCCATAGTGGTTGGAATAATTTTCATTACCACCAGCAAAAAGGGTTCCTTTATCTCCACATCCTCATCAATATTTATTGTTGCTAGTATTTTTAATATGTGTGTAAGGCAGTATCTCATTGTAGTTTTGATTTGCATTTCCATGATTACAAATGTTGATCATTTTTTCAAATGCCTGCTGGCCATTTGCAGGAAAATAATGCTATTACTTAATGAAAGAGAAAGAAAAAGAATGACTGGCCAAGATGGAATACTGAACAATTTTAACTGTTTTACTGAGGAGGAAAAGTTGTATGAAAAGCCAACACTATAGTGATGGTACATAGGTGAATTAATGGAGGGAATTCTATGGATACTACATACAAGAAAAGAAAGCAAACATTGTTTTAAAAAATCATGAATAATGATGTAAAATATATGTAAGTAAATGATTTCTTAAAAAATAAAGGCCGGGCCCTCGCTGG